CTCTGTGTCTCGGCTCTCTCTCTGCCTGCCAGCGGTCGAATCTTTGTTAACAACAAGCAGCAGTCTAAAGATTCAGTAAAGAACAATGTCCAACTAAAATGGTGAATGGTGTGAGAAAAGGTTTTCTGCGCAAAGATGGGCAACTACGTAGCAGCAGCACAGCCGCCGCTCAGTCAGCAGCCCCAGTGCAATTGACCAAGCACTGCCGCGTCAGCAGAGTCCGCATCCAAATCAGCAACAGAATATAGGCTCTCATCCCGACCGGAATCAGCAGAATCAAGATCGGGACGATAAGCAGCAGAATCAGGATCGGGACGAGAAGTAGCAGAATCAGGATCGCGACCGGAATCAGCAGAGTCAGGATCGGGACGAGGATAAACAGAATCGAGACTATCAGCACAATGAGCATAGAACTATCGCACTCATCTTGAGAGTAGCGGTCCCGCAGATGAATCACACACACACACACGCACACACGCGCCCACACGGTAACACACATACACACACGCGCACACGCGCACACACCCGCACACGCGCACACGCGCACACGCGCACACGCGCACACACGCGCCCACACGGTAACACACATACACACACGCGCACGCACCCGCACACACACGCATATGCATACACGCGCGCACACGCACATATGCGTACACGCGCACACGCGCACATGCACACACACACACACACACACACACACACACACACACACACACACACACACACACACACACACACACACCATGACGCACACAATCACATGATTATAGCATCTTGCCAAGACTCAAACGAATAGCTCGCAATACCTGCCGCATGATTGGTGAAATGTAAGACCGGATGTGGGTAATGATCCTGGACTGGGACGGAAGTACTACTGGAAACCATGGAGTTACCTGGGGCGAGAGTGCCATCACACCCAAACACACACACACACACACACACACACACAAACACGGCTGTAGGTAGCGCTCATCAGTCGTAATCCGCTTGGCTGCCGCCCAATCGAGGAAACAACATGCCACGGTCACCATGCGCTGAGTAGATGACGTGAGTGGTCTGATCTGGTCTGGTGAATTGAAGGTTAGCAAAGTGGGCGATGCCGCTGCGTTGATGCGTGAAAACCAATAGACGAGGGGAAGAATCGAATTCCTCCGTAATGCCATGGCGTAGACAACCAGTGTCAGGCTCCAACTTGCCACCCAACCTTTAAGCCGCCCTCTCCATCCTCACTGTATTGCGTACATCCGCTCTTTCCATGCAAGCAATCTAAAGTGTTTTCAACCCTAAACCCTAACTCCCTAAGCCCCTAAAGCCTGTACGCTAAACCCTAAACCCAAAACCCTCAACCCTAAACCTAACCCTCCTAACCCTCCTACCCCCCCTAAGCCCCCTAATCCCCTTACACCCCCCAAACCCTAAACCTCTAAATCCTAAACCCTAAATCCTCGACTTTAAACCCTAAACCGTGGGCCTAGTGGAGCAGCCTCAAGGTGGTATTAGACTCCATCATCTCCGGCACATTCCACTGTACCTGGGTCCGTTTTGGCATAATTGATGGACCGATGGATGGCATTGTGAGTAGATAGGTAACCGTATGTATGGATGGGTAGGTGGCTTGATCGATGCATGGATGGGTGGATGGGTGGATGGGCGGGATAGCTGCTGAGTTTTATAGGGTCGCCCTCATACATCTGGTGGCCAATACTGCAAATGAATGACTACCGTCTTCCCCCCATAATAGAACGTACTGTCATTATCGCTGTATATTTTGACTGAAACTTGTGCCAAATACAGCTATAATAACGGTACCTTCGAATGAACAAGGGTAATGTGCAGACACTGGGCAATATGTAGTCGTGAATGAATGTGGATTAATGTGGCCAGCAGTGTAAATTGAGTGTTCTCTCAAGGACTCGGCTCTCTTATCCATATCCATATCCATATCCATATCCATGTCCATCCATGTCCATCCATATACATCCTTATCAATCCGCTCACCCATCCCCCCATCCCCCCATCCCCCCATCCCCCCATCCACCATCCACCCATCCACCCATTTAACAAGAGTTTGATACAGCCTAACCAGGTCCCGTCCGAGACCAGGTAGGCCACCCAACCCTACAGGTTTAAGTCAGCAGTTCTTTCCAATTGAGTTCGAACTCTGCACCTGGTCTGTATTTCAACAGTTCAGTTCAGTTCAGTTCAGGGGTGTTTGTACCAACTACTGAGATAGGGCAGTTGGTACCCTACAGGTTTTCGAAGTAGAAGGGAAGAGGGTGATCAAGGTTCCGACTGAGACCAGGTAGGCCAGCTGGAATCAAACAAAAAGACCGCTTTTTGCAGGAGAAGAGAACAGAAGAGAAGAGAGGCGAGGCGAGGAGAGGAGAGGAGAGGAGAGGAGAGGAGAG